ACTCAGTGTGGTGATGGTATCATCATGGTAACTCAGTGTGGTGGTGGTATCATAACTCAGTGTGGTGGTGGTATCATCATGGTTACTCAGTGTGGTGATGGTATCATCATGGTAACTCAGTGTGGTGGTGGTATCATCATGATAACTCAGTGTGGTGGTATCATCATGGTAACTCAGTGTGGTGGTGGTATCACCATGGTAACTCAGTGTGGTGGTATCATCATGGTTACTCAGTGTGGTGGTGGTATCATCATGGTAACTCAGTGTGGTGGTATTATCATGGTTACTCAGTGTGGTGGTGGTATCATCATGGTAACTCAGTGTGGTGGTGGTATCATCATGGTAACTCAGTGTGGTGGTGGTATCATCGTGGCAACTCAGTGTGGTGGTATCATCATGGTAACTCAGTGTGGTGGTATCATCATGGTAACATGCTTTAAAGTGGCCTTTTCTAGTTAGATAGGGTGCTATATCAAATTTTGTATATTTATTTTTGTTTATAGTTCATGGTATATCACCATACATGTAGCAATTCAGTGTTCTTGTTCACATTACATCACCATGGTAACTGAATGTTATATTTTAGGGCTGGCCTGGATCATTGTGCCATTAGATATTGGCTACTCTTCACCAAACTTCACCTATAACAGCTGGAGGATCTTTATTGCAATCTGTACTTTTCCAAGTTTATCATCAGCAGCACTTTTCTTCTTGATGCCGGAGAGTCCCAAATTTCTGCTTAGTGTAAGTTTGTTAACAGAGATTCCGAAATTTCTACTTAGTGCTTGTGTGATGCCATAGTGTGGAGTCCATAAACCCTAATGAGGGTAAGTATGATGCTGGAGAGGAAGGAAGGTAAACTAGGACAAGTTAGATAACCACCATTATCTGATTGTAATTTATGGAGTTATGCCCCTTGAATCGGTGGAGTGAGTGTAATCACAATTATCTTACCATAATTATAATAATAATAATAATAAAAGACTTTGTTTCAGGTGGATAACACTTTGAGTCAAAGACTCAATATTTAATACAATATTACAAATACAATATTTAAAACAGTTAATAGACTTATTCCCCCGGGTTATTGTATATCCTAGTTGTATTAATTGTATAACTATGTACTGTAGAGCGCTTTAGAGTGGCTTATGTTAGCTAGATAGGGCGCTATATCAAATGTTGTATATTATTATTATTATTATACATTAATGCAATACTATATGCATTCCATGATGTTTCATTACACTCTTTGATCTACCGGGTATGTTGAATTATTTCTCCTTTGATATCAATTACTCACAAAAGTTTATTGTATTTCCATGATGCAAACAACTACTCATTCAAGATGTGACAGGCATATTAGGATGTCCGCAGCTCGCTGTATACAATAGGAGTGTTCAGTGTAAACTTGTTATCCTCAAGATCAGTAGCCTGGTCATATATTAGTATATACTGTCAGATCAATGTTGGGAGACCCTGGATGGAGGAGGCAGTAGAATGCTGTAAACATGGAGATTCTTAAGTACACCAGTATGCTTCCTTCTATAGAACACAATTCAAGCTGACAGTGCAAGTAAAAAAGCTTTTAGTTGAGATTAAAAAAAAGAGGGTTTTATCTGGCATGAAATCTTCCCCAGTGCCAATCTCCTCCCGCTGTCGTTTCTAAGGAAGTGCCAATTGCTTTCAGCTGTCGTTTCTAAGGAAGTGCCAATCTCTTTCGGCTGTCGTTTCTAAGAAAGTGCCAATCACTTTCGGCTGTCGTACCTAAGGAAGTGCCAATCGCTTTCAGCTGTCGTTTCTAAGGAAGTGCCAATCGCTTTCGGCTGTCGTTCCTACGGAAGTGCCAATCGCTTTCAGCTGTCATTTCTAAGGAAGTGCCAATCGCTTTCGGCTGTCATTTCTAAAGAAGTGCCAATCGCCTTTGGCTGTTGTTTCTAAGGAAGTGCCAATCACTTTCGGCTGTTTCTAAGGAAGTGCCAATCACTTTCGGCTGTCGTTTCTAAGGAAGTACCAATCGCTTTCGGCTGTCGTTTCTAAGGAAGTGCCAATCTCTTTCGGCTGTCGTATCTATCAGATCAGTTGAATAAAATGGAAATGGAACTCATCAGTTTGACAGATAATGCGCTTTTATACCCAGCGAGGACCCTTACTCGTTACCAAGCAAGACAAACTAAAATGTTGGCACTTATTTAGAAATGACAGCCGGAAGAGAAATTCTCAAATGAAAGCTTTTTAACTTGCATTGTCAGCTTTAATTACTAGACCTAGATCTTCTGTGATTCTTATCAAATGTTATTGTTATGTCATGTGATTGTTATGTTATGTGATTGTTATGTCATGTGATTGTTACGTTATGTGATTGTTATGTCATGTGATTGTTATGTCATGTGATTGTTACGTTATATGATTGTTATGTCATGTGATTGTTATGTCATGTGATTGTTATGTCATGTGATTGTTATGTCATGTGATTGTTATGTCATGTGATTGTTACATTATGTGATTGTTATGTCATGTGATTGTTATTGTTATGTCATGTGATTGTTATGTCATGTGATCGTTATGTTATGTGATTGTTATGTAAGGTGACTGTTATCAAACGTTATTGTTATGTAAGGTGATTGTTATATCATATGATTGTTCTTGTGTGATTGCTATCATACAATTTTGAATATTTCTTTAGGTTGGTAAAGAAGAGCAGGCTGCTGCAGTGCTGAAGAAAATTTATGACATCAACAATCCCAATGCATTAATGCCCTATGACGTAAGATGTCACTTATCATTTAACACTTGTTTTAAAGCCTACTGATTTCACTTAAAATTACACACCTGTTATAAAGTCTACTGATGTCAGTGAACATTGAACACATGTTATAAAGTCTACTGATGTCACTTAAACACCTGTTATAAAGTCTACTGATGTCAGTGAACATTGAACACGTGTTATAAAGTCTACTGATGTCACTTAACAGTAAACACTTGTTATAAAGTCCACTGATTTCACTTAACATTACACACCTGTTATAAAGTCTACTGATGTCACTTAACAGTAAACACTTGCTATAAAGTCTACAGCTATCATTGAACATTAAACACTTGTTATAAAGTCTACTGATGTCACATAACAGTAAACACTTGTTATAAAGTCTACAGCTGTCATTGAACATTAAACAGTTGTTATAAAGTCTACTGATGTCACTGAACAAAGCAGTTGTTATAAAGTCTACTGATGTCACTTAACATTAAACACTTGTTATAAAGTCTACTGATGTCACTTAACATTAAACACTTGTTATAAAGTCTACTGATGTCACTGAACAAAGCACCTGTTATAAAGTCTACTGATGTCACTGAACAAAGCACTTGCTATAAAGTCTACTGATGTCACTTAACATTAAACACTTGTTATAAAGTCTACTGATGTCACTGAACAAAGCGCTTGCTATAAAGTCTACTGATGTCACTTAACATTAAACACTTGTTTTAAAGTCTATTGATGTCACTGAACATTAAACGCTTGATATAAAGTCTACTGATGTCACTTAACATTAAACAGTTGTTATAAAGTTTACTGATGTCACTGAACAAAGCACTTGTTATAAAGTCTACTGATGTCAGTGAACATTGAACACGTGTTATAAAGTCTACTGATGTCATTTAACAGTAAACACTTGATATAAAGTCTACTGATGTCACTTAACATTAAACACTTGTTATAAAGTCTACTGATGTCACTGAACATTAAACACTAGTTATAAAGTCTACTGATGTCACTGAACAAAGCACTTGTTATAAAGTCTACTGATGTCATTTAACAGTAATCACTTGATATAAAGTCTACTGATGTCACTTAACATTAAACACTTGTTATAAAGTCTACAGATGTCATTTAACAGTAAACACTTGTTATAAAGTCTACTGATGTCATTTAACAGTAAACACTTGTTATAAAGTCTACTGATGTCACTTAACAGTAAACAATTGTTAAATACTCAACTGATGTCACTTAACATTAAACACTAGTTATCAAATCTACTGATGTTATTTAACAGTAAACACTTGTTATAAAGTCTACTGATGGCATTTAACAGTAAACACCTGTTATAAAGTCTACTGATGTCATTTAACAGTAAACACTTGATATAAAGTCTACTGATGTCACTTAACATTAAACACTAGTTATCAAATCTACTGATGTCCCTGAACAAAGCACTTGTTATAAAGTCTACTGATGTCATTTAACAGTAATCACTTGATATAAAGTCTACTGATGTCACTTAACATTAAACACTAGTTATCAAATCTACTGATGTCACTGAACAAAGCACTTGTTATAAAGTCTACTGATGTCACTTAAAAGTAAACAGTTGTTATAAAGTCTACTGATGTCATTTAACAATTAACACTTGTTATAAAGTGAACGGATGTCACTTAACATTAAACACTAGTTATCAAGTCTACTGATGTCACTTAACATTAAACACTTGTTATTAAGTCTATTGATGTCACTGAACAATAAGCACTTGTAATAAAGTCTACTGATGTCATTTAAAATTAAACACTTGTTATAAAGTCTACTGATGTCACTTAACAGTAAACACTTGTTATAAAGTGAACGGATGTCACTTAACATTAAACACTAGTTGTAAAGTCTACTGATGTCATTTAACAGTAAACACTTGATATAAAGTCTACTGATGTCACTTAACATTAAACACTTGTTATTAAGTCTATTGATGTCACTGAACAATAAGCACTTGTAATAAAGTCTACTGATGTCATTTAAAATTAAACACTTGTTATAAAGTCTACTGATGTCACTGAACATTAAACACTAGTTATAAAGTCTACTGATGTCACTTAAAATTAAACACTTGTTATAAAGTCTACTGATGTCATTTAACAGTAAACACTTGTTATAAAGTCTACTGATGTCACTTAACATTAAACACTGGTTAAAAAGTCTAATGATGTCACTTAACATTAAACACTTGTTTTAAAGTCTACTGATGTCACTTAACATTAAACACTAGTTATAAAGTTTACTGATGTCATTTAACAGTAAACACTTGTTATAAAGTCTACTGATGTCACTTAACATTAAACACTTGTTATAAAGTCTACTGATGTCACTTAACATTAAACACTTGTTATAAAGTCTACTGATGTCACTTAACATTAAACACTTGTTATAAAGTCTACTGATGTCACTTAACATTAAACACTTGTTATAAAGTCTACTGATGTCACTTAACATTAAACACTTGTTATAAAGTCTACTGATGTCACTTAACATTAAACACTTGTTATAAAGTCTACTGATGTCACTTAACATTAAACACTTGTTATAAAGTCTACTGATGTCACTTAACATTAAACACTTGTTATAAAGTCTACTGATGTCACTTAACATTAAACACTTGTTATAAAGTCTACTGATGTCACTTAACATTAAACACTTGTTATAAAGTCTACTGATGTCACTTAACATTAAACACTTGTTATAAAGTCTACTGATGTCACTTAACATTAAACACTTGTTATAAAGTCTACTGATGTCACTTAACATTAAACACTTGTTATAAAGTCTACTGATGTCACTTAACATTAAACACTTGTTATAAAGTCTACTGATGTCACTTAACATTAAACACTTGTTATAAAGTCTACTGATGTCACTTAACATTAAACACTTGTTATAAAGTCTACTGATGTCACTTAACATTAAACACTTGTTATAAAGTCTACTGATGTCACTTAACATTAAACACTTGTTATAAAGTCTACTGATGTCACTTAACATTAAACACTTGTTATAAAGTCTACTGATGTCACTTAACATTAAACACTTGTTATAAAGTCTACTGATGTCACTTAACATTAAACACTTGTTTTAAAGTCTCCTGATGTCACTTAACATAAAACACTTGTTTTAAAGTCTACTGATGTCACTTAACATTAAACATTTGTTATAAAGTCTATTAATGTCATTTAAGAGTAAACACTTGTTATAAAGTCTACTGATGTCACTTAATATTAAACACTTGTTATAAAGTCTACTGATGTCACTTAACATTAAACACTAGTTATAAGGTCTACTGATGTCATTTAACAGTAAACACTTGTTATAAAGTCTACTGATGTCACTTAACATTAAACACTTGTTTTAAAGTCTACTGATGTCACTTATCATCAAACACTTGTTATAAAGTCTACTGATGTCACTTAACACTAAACACTTGTTATAAAGTCTACTGATGTGACTTAACATTAAACACTTGTTATAAAGTCTACTTATGTCACTTAACATTAAACACTTGTTTTAAAGTCTACTGATGTCACTTAACGTTAAACACTTGTTATAAAGTCTATTGATGTCATTTAGCAGTAAACACTTGTTATAAAGTCTACTGATGTCACTTAACATTAAACACTTGTTATAAAGTCTACTGATGTCACTAATAATTAAACACTTGTTATAAAGTCTGATGTCACTAGCCCCAAAACACTTCCTCACAACCTCACCCTTATGCCTTCTCATAAAGACTATGGATTCACATGTTGGTGACAATATGGCTACAACTCTTAAAATTGATATCAAGGGCCAAGTGAGCTTTTGGAATGGTGCGGCGTCTGCACCATGATATTTGGCCAGTAGCATGCTGGGATAAAGGGCTACCATGTTTGTTCAAATGAATTACCTTTGCCCATTTTCAAGGTTATAGGGGTCAAATATTTTAAAAACCTTTAAACAACTTCTTCTGTAAAACTGATATGTCCAGTGTGATGATATTTGGTCAGAAGGATGTAAGGATGAAGGGCTACCAAGTTTGTTCAAATGAATGACCATCATCTATATTCAAGGTCACAGGGGTCAATTGTCTTGAAAACCTTTAATCGACTTCTTTTGTATAACCAAAAGGTGCAGGGTGATGATATTTGGCCAGAAGGATGTTGTCATGAAGGACTATGAAGTTTGTTCAAATGAATGACCTTTGCCCATATTCAAGGTCACAGGGGTCAAATATTTTGAAATCTTTAAACAACTTCTTCTGAATAACTAAAGCATACAGGGTGATTGCTTGTTGAAATGAATGACCTTGACATACTTTCATGGTCACATCTGGTCCATAGTGCATAAATCTTTTAAAGTCATCTTCTCAATAAACAAAAGGTATAAGGTGGTGATATTTGGCAAGTTGCATTCTGGGAGGAAGGGCTATGAAGTTTGTTCAACTTATTGTCCATGTTTGACTTTCAAGGTCACAGGGGTCAAATGTGTTTTTATCATTTAACAGGTTCTTCTGAATGACTTGAAGGCAAGACACTGATATTTTGCCTGTAGCTTTATTTATAGTGTGTGATTCTTTACACTAGCCACACAGCAAGCCATACTCATTATACCAAAAGCAAATGACACCAGTAATACCAGTTTGATATGAAATAGGCTGTTTATTCATAAAACGACATAAAGAACAAACATGTATACACTACATGTCACTACACACTGACCTAAAATACATGTAGTCATTGTGCAATATCCAATAGTGATTCTATGACTATCGCAGGAGGGGGGCAAAAACCGCCCCCGTTTATTCACAAAACGACATAAAGAACAAACATGTATACAACAAAATCCAATCATGATAAATGACTCTCCGAAGATTAATTATGAGTATATTTAAATATCCCCAATGCTTGGTGGAGATGAGGGGATGGAGGCGGGATAAAAAATGAGCGAAACTTCTTGCCTTTGGCCTCTGACAAAATTTGTTCAAGTGATGCTATCGCCCGTCATGTGACATGTGTTCTTGCCTGTAAAGCGGTAAACCGGTCACGGTATGTTTTAATAAATAGATGCAGAGGCAAAAGCAAGAAGTCCTTCCACCTATAAAAATAGTACTACATAACATATGCAAATCCACACAATAAATGGAATTAAATTTACTTTGTATTTAATTATTATTTTTAGTGCACTTTTAAGGTTACAATTGTGAGATAAATACCAGGTGAGCGATGCAGGCCCATTGGGCCTCTTGTTAAACACACCTTTGCCATAACTTCTTGGTACTTTGATCATAGTTTGATGAATGCAAGTTTTACCAGTAGAAAGCTATCTTTGTAATTTAAAAGAGTTAAAATGTCTCGATTGTTTCATTAATATCTTCATAATATGTCTAATATTTTATTAATATCTTTACAATATGTCTAATATTTTATTGATATCTTTACAATATGTCTTATATTTTATTAATATCTTTACAATATGTCTAATATTTTATTAATATCTTTACAAAATGTCTAATATTTTATTAATATCTTTACAATATGTCTAATATTTCATTAATATCTTAACAATATGTCTAATATTTGATAAATATCGTTGCAATCTTGTAAACCTTACAGAGATAAAAATATTTTTCCAGGTGGAATCCATTGTGTTGTCATCAGACAGTAAGACAGATTCACATTACCGCTCAAATGCCACCAAGAACATCAAAGGAACATGTGGTTCAAAGTCTGTTACAAAGGTAAATATAGGATTGTTTAATTTGTAGACTGGCAAAGACCATCATTCAGGTAAATATAGGACTGTTTGATTTGTAGACTGGCAAAGACCATCATTCAGGTAAATATAGGACTGTTTGATTTGTAGACTGGCAAAGACCATCATTCAGGTAAATATCTTGGGAACAACAGTTTTATTGTTCTAACTTTGTCTTATATGAAATCAAAATGCCACTAGTGTATCTCTGCACAAAAGATGATATTTGTTGACATTTTCCTGCAGCGTTTTTGTGAATGATTGCATGACACTCCTCCTAGTTCAAACTCTGAAGGGTTTAACACTCCTTCTACATTGTAACTCAAAGGGTTTAACACTCCTTCTACATTGTAACTCAAAGGGTTTAACACTCCTTCTACATTGTAACTCAAAGGGTTTAACACTCCTTCTACATTGTAACTCAAAGGGTTTAACACTCCTTCTACATTGTAACTCAAAGGGTTTAACATCCTTCTACATTGTAACTCAAAGGATTTAACACTCCTTCTACATTGTAACTCAAAGGGTTTAACACTCCTTCTACATTGTAACTCAAAGGGTTTAACACTCCTTCTACATTGTAACTCAAAGGGTTTAACACTCCTTCTACATTGTAACTCAAAGGGTTTAACACTCCTTCTACATTGTAACTCAAAGGGTTTAACACTCCTTCTACATTGTAACTCAAAGGGTTTAACACTCCTTCTACATTGTAACTCAAAGGGTTTAACACTCCTTCTACATTGTAACTCAAAGGGTTTAACACTCCTTCTACATTGTAACTCAAAGGGTTTAACACTCCTTCTACATTGTAACTCAAAGGGTTTAACACTCCTTCTACATTGTAACTCAAAGGGTTTAACACTCCTTCTACATTGTAACTCAAAGGGTTTAACACTCCTTCTACATTGTAACTCAAAGGGTTTAACACTCCTTCTACATTGTAACTCAAAGGGTTTAACACTCCTTCTACATTGTAACTCAAAGGGTTTAACACTCCTTCTACATTGTAACTCAAAGGGTTTAACACTCCTTCTACATTGTAACTCAAAGGGTTTAACACTCCTTCTACATTGTAACTCAAAGGGTTTAACACTCCTTCTACATTGTAACTCAAAGGGTTTAACACTCCTTCTACATTGTAACTCAAAGGGTTTAACACTCCTTCTACATTGTAACTCAAAGGGTTTAACACTCCTTCTACATTGTAACTCAAAGGGTTTAACACTCCTTCTACATTGTAACTCAAAGAGTTTAACTCCATTCCTAACTCAAACTAGGAAAGGTTGAACTTCCTTACTCAAACTAGGAAGAGTTGAGTATCCCTCCTAACTCAAACTAGGAAGAGTTGAGTATCCCTCCTAACTCAAATTAGGAAGAGTTAAATTTCCCCCTAACTCAAATTAGGAAGAGTTAAATTTCCCTCCTAACTCAAATTAGGAAGAGTTAAATATCCCTCCTAACTCAAATTAGGAAGAGTTGAATATCCCTCCTAACTCAAATTAGGAAGAGTAAAATATCCCTCCTAACTCAAATTAGGAAGAGTTAAATATCCCTCCTAACTCAAACTTGGAAGAGTTAAATATCCCTCCTAACTCAAACTTGGAAGAGTGTTAGTACCCTTCATAACTGAACACATGTTTTGATTTTGAATTTCATTGGCTCAATTGTTTCCCCACGCTATATTTAAACACAAATTTTACTATATGTGTCACCATTTTGTGTGTCAATGATTGTGTTTTGTATTTCAGCTTCTTGATTCCACAATAGAACTGTTTCGAGCTCCTCTGCGACGATCTACCATAATTCTGCTCATTGTCACATTTACCATCAGTTTTGGGTAAATATTAAGTTTCAGCTCAATAATTCTAATTGTGTGTTAGTTTCCTGAGCAAGGATTAAAATAAATCAATATAAGCTGTGGCATCAGTTCATCCAATCGTTCTTTAACAACATTCATTCCTGCAGTCTGACTGACTCTGTGTGACCGACACAAAACTAACCATTTCTTTTTGTTATCAATACAGTGTATTTTTACATATATTGTTTGATAATTGATGTTTTTAATATAAAATTGTTCTGTGGAAAGCATTTCGTCTCTGTAATACAGAAGTTATGACCTGTACTTCTCTGTGGCAGGTATTATGGACTGTGGATGTGGTTTCCCGAGTTGTTTTCCCGTGTAGAGAAATATGGTGGATCTCCATGTGACTCAGTGAAGGGTTCTAATGTTACAGAAAGCGGCGACCAAAACTGTACGATTCCAGACACCTGGACGTACCAGTCTGGCTTCCTCACGGCACTGTCCAACCTACCGGGAAACCTATTCACAATATTTCTTATGGATAAAATTGGGAGAAAAGGAATATTAGGTAAAGACAGGTCTCAAAAGCGTTCCATATGCCAGAGCTTTGTCTAGTCCCACTGCAAACATTCACATCTACTTCCACTGCAAACATTCACATCTACTTCCACTGCAAACATTCACATCTACTTCCACTGCAAACATTCACATCTACTTCCACTGCAAACATTCACATCTACTTCCACTGCAAACATTCACATCTACTTCCACTGCAAACATTCACATCTACTTCCACTGCAAACATTCACATCTACTTCCACTGCAAACATTCACATCTACTTCCACTGCAAACATTCACATCTACTTCCACTGCAAACATTCACATCTACTTCCACTGCAAACATTCACATCTACTTCCACTGCAAACATTCACATCTACTTCCACTGCAAACATTCACATCTACTTCCACTGCAAACATTCACATCTACTTCCACTGCAAACATTCACATCTACTTCCACTGCAAACATTCACATCTACTTCCANACATCTACTTCAGGTTCTACTAGTAATAGTGCTAACATTTACATCTACCTCAGGTTCTACTAGTAATAGTGCTAACATTTACATCTACCTCAGGTTCTACTAGTAATAGTGCTATGATTCACATCTACTTCAGGTTCTACTAGTAATAGTGCTAACATTTACATCTACCTCAGGTTCTACTAGTAATAGTGCTAAGATTAACATCTACTTCAGGTTCTACTAGTTCCTCTGCAAACATTCACATCTACTTCAGGTTCTACTAGTAATAGTGCTAACAAAAGGCAGCTTTTGTGTATGATAGAAAAAAAAAGGGACATACCTTCTATACTTTTCCACCTGGAGCAACAATATTTGGTGTACAAGAACATCTTTGGATGGGGGAGTGCTGAGTGCAAGAATTAGGTCACCGTGACCTTTGACCTTAACTTTGCTTTTGAAAAAAACATTTTGGGGCATATCTTCTATACTTTTTCACCTGGAGTAACCAGATTTGGTATACAAGGACATCTTGGGATTGGGGAGTGCAAGAGGTATGTATCGGGATACTTTCCTAACATCCTGACATAAGTGCATTGATTGTAAAATAATGAAATCATTACCAGTGGGGGACTATGGATTGCCTTGCAATACTTTGCCTTGTTTTTTTGTTACATGAACTGATTTGTGCTACATGTGTGAGTAAACATGTTAGATATTAATAATCTCAATAAAAGTTCTCACTTCAAATGAAGTAATAAAGTCTATAAACAAGTTATATCTGTATTAGTAAACTAACAAAGGTTACAATATAAATATAGGGTAGCATTCTTTTAAAGAGTCGTGTTTGACTGTCTTTACCTGTATCAGAGATTAGTGTGGTTACCTGTATCAGATATAAGTGTGGTTACCTGTATGAAAGGTAAGTGTGGTTACCTGTATGAGATATAAGTGTGGTTACCTGTATGAGATATAAGTGTGGTTACCTGTATCAGATATAAGTGTGGTTACCTGTATGAAAGGTAAGTGTGGTTACCTGTATGAGATATAAGTGTGGTTAACTGTATCAGATATAAGTGTGGTTGCCTGTATAAGATATAAGTGTGGTTACCTGTATAAGATATAAGTGTGGTTACCTGTATGAAAGGTAAGTGTGGTTACCTGTATGAGATATAAGGGTGGTTACCTGTATCAGATATAAGTGTGGTTACCTGTATCAGATAAAAGTGTGGTTACCTGTATCAGAGATTAGTGTGGTTACCTGTATCAGATATAAGTGTGGTTACCTGTATCAGAGATTAGTATGGTTACCTGTATCAGATATAAGTGTGGTTACCTGTATCAGATATAAGTGTGGTTACTTGTATCAGATATAAGTGTGGTTACCTGTATCAGAGATAAGTGTCGTTACCTGTACTAGATATAAGTGTGGTTACCTGTATCATATATAAGTGTGGTTACCTGTACTAGATATAAGTGTGGTTACCTGTATCAGATATAAGTGTGGTTACCTGTATCAGATATAAGTGTGGTTACCTGTATCAGATATTAGTGTGGTTACCTGTATCAGAGATAAGTGTCATTACCTGTACTAGATATAAGTGTGGTTACCTGTATCAGATATAAGTTTGGTTACCTGTATCAGATATAGGTGTGGTTACCTGTATCAGAAGTAAGTGTGGTTACCTGAATCAGATATAAGTGTGGTTTCCTGTATCAGATATATAAGTGGGGTTACCTGTATCAGATATAGGTGTGGTTACCTGTATCAGAAGTAAGTGTGGTTACCTGAATCAGATATAAGTGTGGTTTCCTGTATCAGATATATAAGTGTGGTTACCTGGATCTGAGGTAAGTGTGGTTACCTGTATCTGGGGTAAGGGTGGTTACCTGTACTAGATATAAGTGTGGTTACCTGTATCGGATATAAGTGTGGTTACCTGTATCTGAAGTAAGTGTGGTTACCTGTATCAGATATAAGTGTGGTTACCTGTATCTGAGGTAAGTGTGGTTACCTGTATCCGAGGTAAGTGTGGTTACTTGTATCAGATATAAGTGTCGTTACCTGTATCAGATATAAGTGTGGTTACCTGTATAAGATGTAAGTGTCGTTACCTGTATCAGAGATAAGTGTGGTTACCTGTATGAGATATAAGTGTCGTTACCTGTATCAGATATAAGTGTGGTAACCTGTATGAGATGTAAGTGTCGTTACCTGTTTACAGTGATTGATGTCATTACCTGTTTACAGTGATTGGTGTCGTTACCTGTTTACATTAATTGGTGTCGTTACCTGTTTACATTAATTGGTGTCGTTACCTGTGTACATTGATTGGTGTCGTTACCTGTTTACAGTGATTTGTGTTGTTACCTGTTTACAGTGATTGGTGTCGTTTCCTGTTTACAGTGATTTGTGTTGTTACCTGTTTACAGTGATTTGTGTCGTTACCTGGTTCCAGTGATTGGTGTCGTTACCTGTGTACATTAATTGGTGTCGTTACCTGTTTACAGTGATTGGTATGCTGGGGTCTGGAGTGACGGTGTTCTTCATCCCCTTAATTCACAACAAAGTGCAGAATCTGCTGCTATCCTGTACATTTGGTCTCATCTCCACACTTGCCTGGAATGCGCTTGATGTACTCCAGGCCGAGCTCTTTCCTACTGGTGTCAGGTAAGTACATCCTCCACATTGTGTCGGGTAAGTACATCCTCCACATTGTGTCAGGTAAGTACATCCTCCACAATGTGTCGGGTAAGTACATCCTCCACGTTGTGTCGGGTAAGTACATCCTCCACATTGTATCAGGTAAGTACATCCTCCACATTGTGTCGGGTAAGTACATCCTCCACATTGTGTCAGGTAAGTACATCCTCCACATTGTGTCAGGTAAGTACATCCTCCACATTGTGTCAGGTAAGTACATCCTCCACATTGTGTCAGGTAAGTACATCCTCCACATTGTGTCAGGTAAGTACATCCTCCACATTGTGTCAGGTAAGTACATCCTCCACATTGTGTCAGGTAAGTACATCCTCCACATTGTGTCAGGTAAGTACATCCTCCACATTGTGTCAGGTAAGTACATCCTCCACATTGTGTCAGGTAAGTACATCCTCCACATTGTGTCAGGTAAGTACATCCTCCACATTGTGTCAGGTAAGTACATCCTCCACATTGTGTCAGGTAAGTACATCCTCCACATTGTGTCAGGTAAGTACATCCTCCACATTGTGTCAGGTAAGTACATCCTCCACATTGTGTCAGGTAAGTACATCCATCACATTGTGTCAGGTAAGTACATCCTCCACATTGTGTCAGGTAAGTATATGCTCCACATTGTGTCAGGTAAGTATATCCTCCACATTGTGTCAGGTAAGTACATCCTCCACATTGTGTCAGATAAGTAGATACTGATTTGCCATCTTACATATTTGTGTTTGTCTCCCCTTCTACAAAATATAGAAAGTCAATAAATATTTCAGATCACTTCTCCACATTTGCTATACATTAATCAGGTATCAGTGGTAGACAGTGTATCATTTCTAATATCAGGGTCATGATCACCATTAGGGGTCAAATGTTTAATTACTGTTTTTTGTATACTAATTTGTGCCCGCAACATGAGCTGTAATTCTTTGGAAATCTTCTGTTTAGAAAAATAGAAAAATTGGCAATGTTTCCAAGCCTGCTTACATGACTTTCAGTTAAAGCAATTATAACTTTGATTCTGTCCTTTTTTGTAGGTCAACAGCTATGGGAGTGTCTTCTGCAGCGAACAGAATAGGAGCAATCCTTGGGAACCTTGCCTTTGGGGAATTAGTAGACATTCACTGTTCAGTGCCCATGATAATGGTAGCCGTACTTCTTGTTTTGGGGGGACTTACCTCCCTTAAACTTCCTAACACGACCAAAACGGACATTCATTGACCGCTGTTTTATAGCCTAGGCTACAAAGTGTCTTCTATGTTTATGTGAGGCTGTGTCATGGTGTGACATCAGTCTGTCAATTTATAATCTAGAACAATGTTAACCCAGAATGGCATAATAGATTTTGACAAAATTTGGTGTTCAGCATCCCTGGGATGAGGGATTCAATGTGATATACACGATTTCTGTAACCCTGCTGGGGAAATAGAGGTAAATGGGATGATACTTCTTTAGTATCTGTTTAGTTATATTAGCGAAGAGTTTTTAGTCTTATTTGGTATAAAGGATGCCTTGGCCAAGGGAACTCGTTTTTTTTTTATAAACAAAGGTTGTGCCCCCTTCACTCCTCAGGGCAGAGGGCTGGGGCCCAATAGAGAAAATGGGTTAAATCTTTAAGTAAATGTTCCTAGACTACAGATACAGGACTTTTAATCTAATTTGATATATGCCCACTAGGCCAAGTGGATTCAGACTTGTGTAATGAAGATGATGGCCCTCGTGGGGTTAGAGTGGATGGGTGGGTTTTTCCCAATGTGGGAAATAGTCGTAAGTCTTTAAAAGACTTATCTAATTTAAGTGAAGAGATTTTAACCTCATTGGATATCCGAGTACCTTTGGCCAAGGGACTCAGTATCATTAGTGTGTGGTCCAACAGAGACAGAAAGCTGGGGTCCAACAGAGTTTATGTTCAAAAGATTTCTCTTAATGTACCATTGAAAACATTGTATGGAAACAGTAAAGGCACCTAGGCGTAGAAATCTAATATTCAACTGGCCAATAAAGGACTTGAGGCCTATTATAGGAATCAGAGTAAATTATAGACTTTCATTATGACTCAGACATTTCTTCCTATATCCAGTTTGTTTTTATTTAACTCTTTTTATATGCAAGTACCATAGTCAACATGATGTATGTAGAATTGAATATTGATACAGATATGGCCATTTTTTTGTATATTTAAGTAAAAAATTATAAAAATGATTTTGGTGACATAGAAAATAACATTTTATATGTTGCAGTAATTTGGGGATATTGGTATCTTGGTTGTTTTATCTCATTGACTTTTTGTTAGAATATATTATCTCTTAATCAGATTGAAAAATGTACTGCTTTACCTGTTTTATACTGTAAATTACTTGATTGACAAGAAGAGATAAGGTCAAATGAGGTGATTGGTTGACTGTGGAATGAGGTGATTGGTTGACTGTGGAATGAGGTGATTGGTTGACTGTGAAATGAGGTGATTGGTCGACTGAGAGGTAACGTGATTGGTTGACTGTGAAATGAGGTGATTCGTTGACTGAGAGATAATGTGATTGGTTGACTGAGAAATAAGGTGATTGGTTGACTGTGAAATGAGGTGATTGGTTGACTGAGAAATGAGGTGATTGGTTGACTGTGAAATTAGGTGATTGGTTGACTGTGAAATGAGGTGATTGGTTGACTGAGAAATGAGGTGATTGGTTGACTGTGAAATTAGGTGATTGGTTGACTGTGAAATGAGGTGATTGGTCGACTGAGAGGTAACGTGATTGGTTGACTGTGAAATGAGGTGATTTGTTGACTGAGAGATAATGTGATTGGTTGACTGAGAAATAAGGTGATTGGTTGCCTGTGAAATGAGGTGGTTGGTTGATTGTGAAATTAGGTGATTGGTAGACTGAGAGATAAGGTGTGAGAGATAAGGTGATTGGTTGACTGAGATATAAGGTGATTGGTTGACTGAGAAATAAGGTGATTGGTTGCCTGTGAAATGAGGTGGTTGGTTGACTGTGAAATGAGGGGATTGGTAGACTGAGAGATAAGGTGTGAGAGATAAGGTGATTGGTTGACTGAGATATAAGGTGATTGGTTGACTGAGAAATAAGGTGATTGGTTGACTGTAAAATGAGATGATTGGTTGACTGAGAGATAAGGTGATTGGTAGACTGAGAGATAAGGTGATAAGTTGGATGAGAGATAAGGTGATTGGTTGGATGAGAGATAAGGTGATTGGTTGGATGAAAGATAAGGTGATTAGTTGGAAGAGAGATAAGGTGATTGGTTGGCTGAGAGATAAAATGATTGATTGACTGAGAGGTAAGGTGATTGGTTGACTGAGAGATAAGGTGATTGGTTTACTGAGAGGTAACGTGATTGGTTGGATGAGTTATAAGGTGATTGGTTGGATGAGTGATAAGGTGATTGGTTGTATGAGAGATAAGGTGATTGGTTGTATGAGAGATAATGTGATTGGTTGGAAGAGATAATGTGATTGGTTGGATGAGAGATAATGTGATTGGTTGGATGAGAGATAAGATGATTGGTTGGCTGAGAGATAAGGTGATTAGTTGGATGAGAGATAAGGTGATTTGTTGAAGATGGAAATGAGATGATTTTTGGGGTTTATCTGTATTCTGTGATACATTTTAAGCATGGTTTCTGTATAATTCATGTCTTTCTATCTATTGTGATATTGATAATTACTGATATTTATTCTTTGTTTCTGTTGGATGTTTGTTATCTGCTATTTGATAAACAATATGTTGGACAAAAAAAGTTTAACCAAATCTTGGTGTCCAAATCTGTATTGGCTCGTGTAAGGTGAAGTATTCCTGCGCCAAACTTCAACAGTGGATAAATTTAAGTTCCACGACTTTGCCTGTTTAAGCACATTTAAGTATAAAATGATGTGTTAGTATTGAGAGAAAGCAGCTCATGCCTTCGGGTAATAGTCAGGTGTGACTTCTATTGTCCACTGGCATGTGCTGGTCAGACAAAAAAATGTCAAAGTTAAAATAACACAGTAGAAGCACAATGACCTCTTATCATCAAACTTAGCTTTTTCAGTATATATAAGACAAAGTCAAACCAATTTTCTGGATGTTAGAACATTGTTAATTTTATGTCCGAGTAACACAGTGGTGGGAACAGTAAATGGTTTCCATTGATCTGTCTATACTACTTTGTGTACAACATTTCGCTATACTTTGTGTTTAGCTCTGTTGCTCTAAAACTAGAAGTTCAAGAGTAATTTAGATACATCTATGATGATACTACAGCAATATATCATATGAAGGCCACTAGAACCTATCTTTTCCATTCCACTGACTTTGGTTAAACTTTGCATGCAGGGCGGCAATGGCCAAGTGGTTAAGGCATCTGGCATTCTGCTACCACAAGCCCTCCACCACTTGGTCGCGGGTTCAAGACCTAAGTGGGGTAGTCGCCAGGTACTGGCCGTTGATCGGTGGTTTTTTCTGAGAACTCTGGTTTTCGTCCACCATCAATACCTGGCACGTCCTTAAATGACCATAGCTGTTAAAAGGATGTAAAACACAAACAAACCAAACCAAAAAAACTTTGCATTTAGCATAACTTTTCTTTAGTTAGACTTTGCATTCAGCTTGTTATCCAGCCAAAGTTGGAACGTCAGGCATATCAGTGTTTTAAAAATCATTTTCTCTTTATGCTATAGATTCAACAATTTTAGAAATCCTTTCTCTGTGATGTTTTTATTAAATTACCAAACTTTTGTGATAATTTAGATTTAATGATATCTAATATGCTTCATATTTATATATTTGTTACATGAACTTAGCTGAAACCACTTGACTTACTGGGTGGCGATTTTGTATACTGGTCATGTGACCAATGCATACTCCTGCCTAAATTACAGGCTCAAATACCACTGATGTTTTAATACTATTTAACACAATGTCTGTATCAGGTTGGACAGGGTGACACACTTTGTTTATATCAGGTTAGACAGGGTGACACACTATGTCTATGTCAGGTTGGACATGATGACACACAATGTCTATATCAGGTTGGACAGGGTGACACACAATGTCTATATCAGGTTGGACAGGATGACACATAATGCCTATATCAGGTTGGACAGGATGACACACAATGTCTATATCAGGTTGGACAGGGTGACACACAATGTCTATATCAGGTTGGACAGGGTGACACACAATGTCTGTATCAGGTTGGACAAGGTGACACACAATGCCTATATCAGGTTGGACAGGATGACACACAATGTCTATATCAGGTTGGACAGGGTGACACACAATGTCTATATCAGGTTGGACAGGGTGACACACAATGTCTGTATCAGGTTGGACAGGGTGACACACAATGCCTATATCAGGTTGGACAGGATGACACACAATGTCTATATCAGGTTGGACAGGGTGACACACAATGTCTATATCAGGTTGGACAGGGTGACACACAATGTCTGTATCAGGTTGGACAGGGTGACACACAATGCCTATATCAGGTTGGACAGGATGACACACAATGTCTATATCAGGTTGGACAGGGTGACACACAATGTCTATATCAGGTTGGACAGGGTGACACACAATGTCTGTATCAGGTTGGACAAGGTGACACACAATGCCTATATCAGGTTGGACAGGATGACACACAATGTCTATATCAGGTTGGACAGGGTGACACACAATGTCTATATCAGGTTGGACAGGGTGACACACAATGTCTGTATCAGGTTGGACAGGGTGACACACAATGCCTATATCAGGTTGGACATGATGACACACAATGTCTATATCAGGTTGGACAGGGTGACACACAATGTCTATATCAGGTTGGACAGGATGACACATAATGCCTATATCAGGTTGGACAGGATGACACACAATGTCTATATCAGGTTGGACAGGGTGACACACAATGCCTGTATCAGGTTGGACAGGGTGACACACAATGTCTGTATCAGGTTGGACAATGCTAAGATGTTAAAATCAAACTTTGAATATGTCATGTATAAAACCGATTATAAAATAAACTCTTATATTTAATGCGACTTTTTGTATTTTTAACGTACTTCTCAAACCTACAATATTCTACACTTACCTACACATTATTGTTCACACTAATTCTATCTATTTATTTATTATTGACACTTCCTGTGTGTTGTCTGTGTCTACACTCTGTAATACTTCCTGTTTATTGTTTGTCTTTACACTCTGTGATACTTCCTGTGTGTTGTTTGTCTTTACATTCTGTGATACTTCCTGTCTGTTGTTTGTTTTTACACTCTGATTCTTCCTGTGCGTTGTTTGTCTTTACACTCTGTGATACTTCCTGTTTGTTGTTTGTCTTTACACTATGTGATACTGTGTGTTGTTTGTCTTTACATTTCCTGTGTGTTGTTTGTCTTAACACTCTTTGATACTTCTTCCTGTGCGTTGTTTGTCTTTACACTCTGTGACACTTCCTGTTTGTTGTTTGTCTTGACACTCCGTGATATTTCCTGTGTATTGTCTGTCTTTACACTCTGTGATACTTCCTGTGTGTTGTTTGCTTTTACACACGGTGATACTTCCTTTTTGTTGTTTGTCTTTACACTATTTGATACTTCCTGTGTTTTGTTTGTCTTTACACTATGTGACACTCTCTGTGTGTTGTTTGTCTTTACATTTCCTGTGTGTTGTTTGTCTTTACACTCTGTGACACTTCTTGTGTGTTGTTTGTCTTAACACTCTTTGATACTTCCTGTATGTTGTTTGTCTTTACACTATGTGATATTTCCTGTGTGTTGTCTGTCTTTACACTCTGTGATACTTCCCGTGTTTTGTTTGTCTTTACACTATGTGACACTCTCTGTGTGTTGTTTGTCTTTACATTTCCTGTGTGTTGTCTGTCTTGACACTCTCTGATACTCCCGGTTTGTTGTCTGTCTTAACACTCTGTTACACTTCCTGTATGTTGTTTGTCTTCACACTCTGTGATACTTCCTGTTTGTTATTTGTCTTTACACTCCGTGATACTTCCTGTTTGTTGTCTGTCTTTACACTCTGTTACACCTCCTGTGTGTTGTCTGTCTTTACACTCTGTGATACTTTCTTTTGTTTGTTTGTCTTCACACTCTGTGATACTTCCTGTGTGTTGTCTGTCTTTACACTATGTGATACTTCCTGTTTGTTGTTTGTCTTTACACTCTGTGATACTTCCTGTGTGTTTGTCTTCACACTCTGCGATACTTCCTGCTTGTTATTTGTCTTTACACTCTGTGATATTTCCTGTTTGTTGTTTGTCTTTACACTCTGTGATATTTCCTGTTTGTTGTTTGTCTCTACACTCTGTGATACTTCCTGTGGGTTTGTCTTCACACTCTGCGATACCTCCTGTGTGTTGTCTGTTTTTACAATATGTTATACTTCCTGTTTGTTGTTTGTCTTCACACTCTGCGATACCTCCTGTGTGTTGTCTGTCTTTACAATATGGCATACTTCCTGTTTGTTGTTTGTCTTTACACTCTGTGATACTTCTTGTTTGTTGTTTGTCTTTACACTCCGTTACACTTCCTGTTCGTTGTTTGTCTTTAGACTCTGAAACTTCCTGTGTGTTGTCTGTCTTTGCACTCTGTGATACTTACTGTATGTTGTTTGTCTTTTCACTATGTGATACTTCCTGTTTGTTATTTGTCCCTACACTCTGTGATACTTCCTGTTTGTTGTTTGTCTTAACATTCTGTGATTCTTCCTGTTTGTTGTTTGTCTTTACACTCTGTGATTCTTCCTGTGTGTTGTTTGTCTTTCCACTCTATGATACTTCCTGTGTGTTGTTTGTCTTTACACTCTATGACACTTCCTGTTTGTTGTTTGTCTTGACACTCCGTGATATTTCCTGTGTGTTGTATGTCTTTACACTCTGTGATACTTCCTGTGTGTTGTTTGCTTTAACACACGGTGATACTTCCTTTTTGTTGCTTGTCTTTACACTATTTGATACTTCCTGTGTTTTGTTTGTCTTTACACTATGTGACACTCTCTGTGTGTTGTTTGTCTTTACATTTCCTGTGTGTTGTCTGTCTTTACACTCTGTGATACTTCCTGTTTGTTGTTTGTCTTTACATTCTGTGACACTTCCTGTGTGTTGTTTGTCTTAACACTCTTTGATACTTCCTGTATGTTGTTTGTCTTCACACTCTGTGATACTTCATGTTTGTTGTTTTTCTTCACACTCTGTGATTCTTCTCGTGTGTTGTCTGTCTTTACACTCTCTGGTACTTCCCGTGTTTTGTTTGTCTTTCCACTCTATGATACTTCCTGTTTGTTCTTTGTCTTTATCCGTTACACTTCCTGTTCGTTGTTTGTCTTCACACTTTGTGATACCTCCTGTGTGTTGTCTTTGCACTCTGTGATACTTACTGTATGTTGTTTGTCTTTACATTTCCTGTGTGTTGTCTGTTTTTACAATATGTTATACTTCCGGTTTGTTGTTCGTCTTTACACTCTGTGATTCTTCTCGTGTGTTGTCTGTCTTTACACTTTGTTACAATTCTTGTGTGTTGTCTGTCTTAACTCTCTGTGATACTTCATGTTTGTTGTTTTTCTTCACACTCTGTGATTCTTCTCGTGTGTTGTCTGTCTTGAACATATCCTGTTTGTTGTTTGTCTTCCCACTCTGTGGTACTTGCCTGTGTGTTGTCTGTCTTAACACTCTGTGATACTTCTTTACACTCCGTGATATTTCCTGTGTGTTGTATGTCTTTACACTCTGTGATATTTCCTGTTTGATGTTTGTCTTTACACTATGTGATACTTTCTTTTGTTTGTTTGTCTTCACACTTTGTGATACCTCCTGTGTGTTGTCTGTTTTTACAATATGTTATACTTCCGGTTTGTTGGTTGTCTTTACACTCTGTGATATTTCCTGTTTGATGTTTGTCTTTACACTATGTGCCACTCTCTGTGTTTTGTTTGTCTTTCCACTTCCGGTTTGTTGTCTGTCTTAACACTCTGTGATACTCTTGTTTGTTGTTTGTCTTCCCACTCTGTGATACTTTCTTTTGTTTGTTTGTCTTCACACTCTGTGATTCTTCTCGTGTGTTGTCTGTCTTGAACATATCCTGTTTGTTGTTTGTCCTTACATTCTGTGACACTTCCTGTGTGTTGCTTGTCTTAACACTCTTTGATAATTCCTGTATGTTGTTTGTCTTTACTTTTTGGGTTACTTTCTGTCTGTTGTTTGTTTTTACATTCTGCTCCTTCCTGTGCGTTGTTTGTCTTTACACTCCGTGATATTTTCTGTGTGTTGTCTGTATTTGCACTCTGTGATACTTACTGTATGTTGTTTGTCTTTACGTTGTCTGTCTTTACACTATGTGATACTTTCTTTTGTTTGTTTGTCTTCACACTCTGCGATACCTCCTGTGTGTTGTCTGTATTTGCACTCTGTGATACTTCCCGTGTTTTGTTTGTCTTTCCACTCTGTGACACTTCCGGTTGGCTGTTTTGTTGTTTGTCTTTACATGCTGTGACACTTCCTGTGTTTTGTTTGTCTTTCCACTATGTGACACTCTCTGTGTGTTTTTTGTCTTAACACTCTTTGATCCTTCCTGTATGTTGTTTTTCTTTACATTCTGTGATACTTGTTGTTTGTCTTAACACTATTTGATACTTCCTGTGTTTTGTTTGTCTTTCCACTTCCGGTTTGTTGTCTGTCTTTACACTTTGTTACAATTCTTGTGTGTTGTCTGTCTTTGCACTCTGTGATACTTACTGTATGTTGTTTGTCTTTACGTTGTCTGTCTTTACACTATTTGATGCTTCCTGTGTGTTGCTATTTGATACTTCCTGTTTGTTATTCGTCCCTACACTCTGTGATATTTCCTGTTTGTTGTTTGGCTTTACACTCTGTGATACATCCTGTGTGTTGTTTGTCTTAACACTCTTTGATACTACCTGTATGTTGTTTGTCTTTACGTTGTCTGTCTTTACACTATGTGCCGCTCTATGTGTGTTGTTTGTCTTTACACTATGTGCCGCTCTATGTGTGTTGTTTGTCTTTACACTATGTGCCGCTCTATGTGTGTTGTTTGTCTTAACATATTTCCTGTGTGTTGTCTGTTTTTACAATATGTTATACTTCCGGTTTGTTGTTGGTCTTTACACTCTGTGATACATCCTGTGTGTTGTTTGTCTTCAAACTCTGTGACACTTTTTGTTTGTCGTTTGTCTCTTGACACTCCGTGATATTTTCTGTGTGTTGTCTGTCTTGAACATATCCTGTTTGTTGTTTGTTTTTACATTCTGATACTTCCTGTTCGTTGTTTGTCTTCACACTCTGTGATTCTTCCTGCGTGTTGTTTGTCTTTCCACTATGTGACACTCTCTGTGTGTTTTTTGTCTTTACACTCTGAGATACTTCCTGTTTGTTCTTTGTCTTTACCATCTGTGATACTTCCTGTGTATTGTTTGTCTTCACACTTTGTGATACCTCCTGTGTGTTGTCTTTGCACTCTGTGATACTTCCCGTTTTATGTTTGTCTTTACACTATTTGATGCTTCCTGTGTGTTGTTTGTCTTCAAACTCTGTGACACTTTTTGTTTGTCGTTTGTCTCTTGACACTCCGTGATATTTTCTGTGTGTTGTCTGTATTTGCACTCTGTGATACTTACTGTATGTTGTTTGTCTTTACGTTGTCTGTCTTTACACTTTGTTACAATTCTTGTGTGTTGTCTGTCTTTACACTATGTGCCGCTCTATGTGTGTTGTTTGTCTTCAAACTCTGTGATACTTTTTGTTTGTTGTTTGTCTTCACACTCTGCGATACCTCCTGTGTGTTGTCTGTTTTTACAATATGTTATACTTCCTGTTTGTTGTCTGTCTTTACACTATTTGATGCTTCCTGTGTGTTGCTATTTGATACTTCCTGGGTTTTGTTTGTCTTTACACTATTTGATACTTCCTGTTTTTGTCTTTACACTCTGAGATACTTCCTGTTTGCCTGTGTGTTGTCTGTCTTAACACTCTGTGATACTTCCTGCTTGTTCTTTGTCTTTACTCTCT